GTGGAACAGACATCTCTTCATGACGTGCCAACCCCGTCCCAGCACACACTCCACTCCAGCGGGCAAGGGAAGCCAATACCAAGCCAACTTTTATCGCCATCGTTCCTCTTGGCTCCTTTCCTGGCTTCAGCATTCATCTAAAAAGATCCATCAGCTAATCCCCAGAGCTTCCTCAAGGAAAAGCAATTTTATCTAGAAAACCTAAAATTGGGTTCAGTGCCTTAAAGTGAAACAGGCTGGTCACAGGGGGTTGTTTTACAAGCAAGTCAGAGCGGGCTGCAGGACACCTGCACAGATTTCTCAGTATGAGTCTGCACGCACAGACCTTTTACAAAGAATCTCTAGTTCACCCATAATAAGGATAAATTCATAACATACCAGAGATAAGGAGAGATGGATTATGAGACCCCCATCTATTTAGTGCCAGAACGGAGTATTGAATCAATGCTTAAGAAATTGGCTTTTCTGTGCAGCAATATTACACAGGCTATGCAACATTGCCAATGATGTGGCTTCTGCCTTGAGATCTTCTTGAAAGTTTTACTGTAAGTTGGTCACTGCCACTTGTAATAGTGCTGTCCTATATTTGATTTTAAACTCGAAATGATCATTTAAGAGGTAGAAGAGCCATTTTTGCATGAAAGTTGTTGCCTCCTAGTAAGATGGTGTAATTGTCTGGTAGATCATCTGCGGTTTCGTTTCCAAAGAGATGCTGACATTTTTCAGTATTCTTGGCTGTTCCAGTGTCTTCATCTGGAATGGGCTCTCTACTTAAGCACAAAGGATCTAAAGTCATAGCTGTTCCAGTATCAGGCCACATCTCAGCTATCTGTGTCCTCGCTCCATATGCTAACTAGTAGACAGGGCCACCTTATCATTTATGGTCTTAGAATGCTTTTCAGCTCTCTCTTAGTTGAGACTCTGATCTAACACTTTAAATGTTAACTGGGACATAAGAAAGTTCCCAAGTGCCAAGGTACCTTATAAAACACATACCTTTCAATGTTTTGAGGCAGAGAAAAACATAATGCTTATGGCCATGCTGTGCAATAATAGGAAATAAACACACCAAGAGAAAATGTGGCAAGTGACAAGAAGATTGATCCCATCTCTCTCATTTCCATCCCGACCCCATAATATACAATGTGAGCTCTTAGTGTTACATTGAGGTGTGGGCATAAATTTACAAGTACACTGTATAATGCTGAAGGAAGGGGTTCTGGGAGTCTATGTATATCTTGGTGAAAAATACCACAGTTTTGAAACAAGCTTAGGCTACACGATGCTAACTCCGTTCTACATTTGACCCTTGAACAACTCGGGGTTAGGGGGTGACCATCCTCCATGCAGCCAGAAAATGTGCTATAACTGATAGTCAGCCCTCTGTATCCACGGTTCTGCAGCCATGGATTTAACCAACCTCAGATCGTGTACTATTGTTAATAATCACTACTGAAAAAACCCCACAACTAAGAGGACCTGTGCAGTTCAAACCCATGTTGTTCAAGGATCAAAGGTAGTTCTAAAACTTCCCAGGTTAGCTTAACATAGGCTGGCCTCTGGCCCCTTTCAGGTTAACTTAATGCTAGCTGTCCCAAGGCACTGGTGTTCTGGTCTCAGGGAGCTCTTCTAGAGTGGGCTCCTCTTGGTCACATTCCTTTCACGGAATCGTGCCTTATGGATGGACACCCACGGTGTCTGCAGTGAAGATGCTCATCACTGGAGTCTGGCTGGTGCAAAGCATCATCCCCTCTCCCCCCAGCTATGCAACTAAAACCTGTTTTGAGCAGCATTAATACGCAGGAACTAGAGCATTCCTCTACTTCGCCTCTTCTTGGAATATTTTCCTCTTATTCCCTGAAAGGCTAATTTCCTCCCTTCCTTCATGCCACCCTGGCCCAGATCCTGCTTGTTCAAATGAGGCTTCTCTAATGACAATCTTTAATTCTGTCTAATCACAGCATCCCAGAAACCTCTCCTTCTCTTTACCCTGCTCTAATGCTTTATTTTTTCCAAATCTCATACACAAAGTATATAGTTCAGTACATTTATTTGGTATATCTTCACTAAATTCACAAGATGGGAGTTGGGGGGGGGTTGTCTAATCTGTTCCCTGGAGTATCCCAAACACTTAATGTAGTGCTTGGCACATCACAAGAGCTCAGAGTGTATTTACTGAATAAAGGAACACGTCTCCTGTCACAGAGACGGTGGAAGGGTAAAAGCCAAACCATATTCTAAGAGAGGACATTTCCCTGCAGGGGAGAAGGATGGGGAATTAGATTGCTTGATGCACATGAACTGCTCATGAATTCTGGAAAAGGAGAAACGGACACTTTTGTTCCCTAAGAGATTTTTGTTTCCATTTCCCTTGTTCACAATGAATTTTAATCACTAATGTCAAACGAGAAACAAGAGTTAGCACATCGCCTTTACGCTTTCCTGTGGTAGAGGCCACAGCTCGGATTTCAGACAAACAAGAATGTCAGCCGATGCTAATTTCGTTGCTGTTATTTACGCATTCTCCTTTCCACAACCAAGTGGTATCATTAGTTAACACATAGTTCTCCCTAGGAAACACTGGTTGGTATCGAGTTGGTATTCAATTTTCTAAGACTCTTATTTCCTACAGATTCACTCTCTGAGAAGGCTTTTAGTAAATGTCATACTCAGTAACTTTTCCAAATAGCAGAACTAGAGGCCCAGGTCCATCTCCAATGAACTGTGTCAGGCCTGGCTTTCAGATGTTGAGTTTCAAGCAAATGAATCTCAATACAGAAATTAATCCTGGGTACCTCTGGAAGTATCACCACTCCACGTGTTTTTGTTGGAAAAACTGGTACATATGAATATGTGTATATGTGTGTATATCCCCTCATCTGGGTGTGTGACTTCACTGTGACTACCAAGAGCAGCAGTGTGATGTACTGGAAAGGGCACTGACTTTGAAGCCAAATGGATTTCAAACTGAATCTGAACAATATCAGTTTACATCCCTTTTACTCTCAAAAAGTGTCCCATTTGGAATAATAAACTCTATATTATTCTAAATAATCTTTATAAAATCTCTGAATGTGACTGGCCAACAGTACCAATACCCAATAAAAGATAGCCATTATTTAACAAAAGTTGATCCAACTCAACTTTCTAGCATCATCAAGGAGGCACCACTCTGACTTCTAAGAGATTTATAACGGTTATTAACAAAGAAAAGAGAAGAAAAAAGTGGAGGGGTGTCCGTAAATCAAAAGACTATTGAAAATATCAGGAAAGGTCATCAGCCATTCCATGAAAGGAAGGAAAGAAAAAAGCGCCAATGCCATGGTCATCATTAAACCCAGATTCTATTCTCGGCAGCCTAACATTGAGAACCCTCCTAAATTAGGCTTCTGTAGGGAAAAAGAATCTCCAGGATCACCCAAAAGAAATAACCGTCAAGGTACCACAGTATGCGTCCCCAAGAAAGGAGGGATTCTCTTTCTGGAAGAAGTGAACTCACCTGCAAATAGCAACAATAAGGGTCGACCAGTACTCTCGTAGTGCCTCCTACGTGCTGAGCACTGGGACAGACAGTGCTAGCCTGCAGCTGTACAACTTTCGACACAGCCAGTCTAATTAGACACATTTTACTGAAGAGGGAAGTGTCTTAGAGAAGTCGCAGGGCTTGCCCAAGGACACACAGCTAACAAGTGAGGGTGCTGCAATTCACCCAAGGTCCATCCAAGTTCAAAAGGGACAGAGCCCTCAGGTTTCAGTTCCAATCCCACACTTCGTCCCAGAATTAGTGTCATGAAAAGACTGGGACAATTCTGTGACGGTGGGTTACTCTGTGAAGAATCATGAACTACATCTGCTTTCTCTACTTTTCAGGGAAGAAATGATACAAATTGAAGGGGTCATTTTAGTAAAGAATGAACAATTCATATGTAAGGAGTATGTTAAACTGAGTCTGATTTCAAAGGTGAGGCAAAGGAAATGAGTGACTAAGAACCTATAACCAGAAACTAGCTCCTCTACCCACGCCCCTGCCCCACACAGGCGTTATTTCCGGTGTAAGGAAGAGCCAGGCCCATCAACAACACCTGCTGAGTGTGAACCCACTTCCCCTTCACGTAACCCCAGGTGATTACTTCTTTGCCTCATTTTATTTTTCACTCAGAAAATGACCTCAAATCTTAGACACTATCAGAAACTATAGAAAAGGTCTATCTAAAACAGCTACAGGTTTAAGACATAGTTCAGGACCACTGAACACATTAGCACCCATTCATCCCTAAAGACTTCTGAATAGCTAGTCCCAGTGATTTCTGTTATTATCAGACTGGGCCCATCAGGAGCCAACAACCAGAGGAAAACACAATGGAGGCCTTTACCGAGGGCTATACAACCAGGCAGAATATAACCAATATCAAGATATTAAAATATAGCTACTAACTTATGTCCATCCTTTCCCCAACATTCTCTGGTTCCCTAGGGACTCTGGAATAGGAGCAGTGCCCCAGGGTGGCAGTGACTTTTACAGAAAGAGCAGCATTAGAATCAAGCTGCTGCCACTCATTAGCTATGTAACCTCAGAAATTATTTCATCTCTCCAAGCATCAGTGTCCTCATTTGCAAAATGAAGATGCTATGAATGGCTTCTTAGGCTGTCAGAAAAACTAGGTGTGGTATGTCGGGTAATAACTAATGGCTATTAAGCATTTATGATGTGCCAGGTGGTGGATGAAGTACTGTTAGCAGAGGAGGAAACTGAGGCACTAGATGTAAGTCATCTGCCAAAATTCACACAATTAGAAAGGCACAGAGATAGGACTGGCGGCCAGGGAATCGACAGAGCCCATGCTCTTACCCCACTGTGCTGTACTGCCTATTTGAAACTGTGTACTGAGTAAAGACTCAACAAATATGAGTCATAGCTACAGTCACCGTTAACATCCCTGCACCACCTAAAATGAGGTCATATGGAACATCGAATACTCACTCCAAAGAATACACAATACCTGGGACATGGCTGCAAGAGTTCTTCTACAATGCAGGCTTCCTTCTCGAGCAATTCAGGGCAATCCTTTCCACCTCCAATAGCGATGTGCTTCACAGTCCGGCTCCTGCTCCTAAATCCTGGTGAGAGACTCCCCGAACGGCACGTCTTAGAGCAGGGGCCCCAGGAGGACCACTCGGTGGTTTCACAGTCCTTTGGCAAGATGCAGGACTGGACAGTCAAAGGGAAGGAATCTTGCATGCAAAGGCTGAAAGAATAGAAGCAGAAAACAGCAGGTCACAGATTAAGTGGATGCAACCAGCATTATGAAGTGCCTATTCTGGGAAAAAAGAAAAAAAATCTGAGATCTAGTGTAAGCTTTCAAGTAGGACTTTTTGAAAATGTTAGACGCATCATGATGAAATATTGGAGGACATACATTTTAAGGATGAATGCTCTATTTCACTTTAAACTGTGAAGTTACTTCACTCTCGCAAGACACATACGTAAGGCCAGTCTATCTGGTACCTTGTCCAGAGCACCATCAGAAATAATGGGGGTGGTTTTCTGTGTTTTCACCTAGGATCCAGCCTATAGTTACCATTTACTCACTGGTTCCTCGGTGTGACACCTGTGCTGTACTTTGCAGACACTTTCTTACAACAATCTCATGAGTTTACATATTATTATGTCCATTTATAGACGAGAAGACTTAAGGTCAGGAAGATTAAATCATTCGTCTAAGGTCAAACAAAGGTAAATGTAAGCTCCAGCATATAATCTATCCACTCTTTTGAACACTGGGCTATTAAAAAATAAACAAAGGCAGTATTATGTTTCCCCACACTATTAGGCTCGGAGCATCAATTTCCACATCTTCAAAATTCAAGTGCTTTCAAATACTCACAATGTAACTGGAAAACAGATAAATAAATAAAAGGATCAGATCATGTGACAGCCTCAACATAAAAGCATTTGTAAGGATGAGGAGAAAAAGTGATGAGGCAGAGATGGACCACCTGGGGAGTCTGTGGGTAGGGGTGAGCATGAGGGGATTTCTAAGAGAGAAGGGTGATATGAGCTGCATTTTAAAAGATTAATAGGAGCTTCTCAGGCACAGAAAGAGAAGTATTTTAAGTTAAGGAAGTAGCAGATTTAAAGCCTTCATACAAATTCGGTGGGCATGGGAACCAGTGGCATGCTGGAGCTGCATATATTGTTTCACAAGAAGCAACTGTTACATTCTCAGGAATTTTGCAAGCCAGTTGATTTAAGTAGCTTAAAATTGGCCATGGTAGGAGTACTTACATAATAGAAATAGGCAAATTTTACAAATCAAGCCCCTCCACCCTACCCCCAGAACTGGTGGTCAAACATTCGCAAGAACACCAACGGGGGAAAGTAAAAGCCAGTTTGTCATATCATAAATGTGTTCATTTACAAAATAAAATTCAAAGAGGAAAGTGAGCAAATATTAGGTATGCAGTTCTTCAAAAGGTATGTCTGGAAAGGCTTCCTGTCATAGACTAAGGAATTTGGATTTAGTTGAGCATTAAATAATTTTAAGTGGAGTAAAGTCAGACTTACACAGAAAGATGACACTTTATTCACTGGCATTCTTTTCTTTTCACTTTATTATTTTTGGTCTTTCCCTTATTCAGTCAAAGGCACCCATTACTTTGGGGAATAAAAAGATAATTTCGACAAGAATGTAAATGAAAGAAAAGGTCAGTGTTCAAAAACTGACTTCCAAAGTTGGGGCCCATGAAACCCAGTGGAATAATGGGCTATTGATAGGATTTAGCAATGGCTCCTTTCTATGCATTTAAAAAGTGAGAACTATTAAAGTGTTCCCAAATTTCTGACTTGGGAAAATATGCAGATTAAGGGAGCCACCAACAGAAATGGATTATAGACGAAAGCATGTGGGGGAGAATAAAATATGTTCATATTTTACCACACTGATGAGGTAAATTATAGTGAGACTGAAGCCACAGAGAGTATGGCTTTCAAGAGTCACAGTAATGTGATACAAGATAAACCTTTGGTCTGACATTTTTAAAAAGTCTACCCAGATCATATTATCCCCTTCAAAAAAAAATCATTACCATTACTCACTCTAATTAGATATTTGGGGGGCTTGGGGTTGAGACAAAATAGGAAGAACCTCTCCTGAAAAAGCCCCACCTGAATCAGAATGTGTGATCACTGCACAACGTGGAGGAAGGGAGGGGAGGACCAGCTCTTTCTGGCTCGTGACACAACAAAGAGCTGCCGATCAACAAGAAGTTTCTAGGTTCTGACTTTTCAGAAATTATTTTTGGCAGAGTGCTTGTGTCCCCCCTCCCCAAATTCATATGTGTAAGTACTAACCCCCAGGATCTCAGAATGTATCTGTACTTGCTGATAGAGTCTTCAAGGACGTAATTAAGTTAAAACATGGTCTCTAGGTAGGTCCTAATCCACTAAGAACGGTGATGAGCCTGTAAGAAGGGATGGGGACACTGACACGTGAAAAGGGAAAGCGATGTGAAGACCTGGAGAGAAGCCAACCATCTACAAGCCAAGGAGAGCGCCCTTAGAAGAAACCAACCCTACCGACACCTGATCAGCCTCCAGAATTGTGACAAAGTGGATGTCTGTTGTGTAAGCTACATAGTCTGAGGTGCTTTGTGAAGGCAGCCCTAGCAAACTAAGAGAAATTTAATAAAGTTTTTTTTTAATTGGTGTATTCATTAGAAAAAGAGTTTTCATTTTCCAAGATGGATTTCCTTCCTTTCATAAAGAAGATCCCACACTTTGCAAGTATGGAAGTCTGTCTGTGGAAGTAGTGATTTGGTTCTTGTCATTTACCAGTTTTCACTCTCTTGTTTGTCTTCCCTGAACTGACGTTTCCTGTTGCACCAGGAGAAGGGATAAGACTTTAACCATACTAAGCACGTCCATGGAGGTGGAGGGATTAATCAAGGCTTTTGTAATTTTAAAAGGGGCTCCTAATTCTTGGAATTAGGAAGGGTGTTATGTTCCACTGATTACATATTTACTTATTTTTAATGTTATTTTTACTAATTTGTCTCCTTGGTTTAAAAAAAAGGTCATAAAAGGTACCATATGGGGACCTGGTCTAATTTGATCAATAAGATTTCTTTTTACCGAAATAGTGAAATAAGCACTACATGCTGAATCAGAAATATTTGTGTCCTGAATTTTGCATCACAATGCATTAGCATGCCCTTAGTCTCCTGGTTACTTAGTTTCATTATCGGCAAGAAAAAAGAAAAAAACCTCATCTCCTTAGCCCCCAGAGCTGTGGTACCCTTCAGGACAAGTAGAGTCATCTTTTAAATTAAAGCCCACAAGGAAGATCAATGTCTACACACAGCATGGGACTCCATCCTTCCATAGACGGTGACATGCCTTTTAATAAAACAGACATATACTTTGATTTGTATTTTTTAAAAAAAAGAGACTATGGTAATTATACCTCCTTGACATTTACAGAGTATGTTATCATTTGTAAATTACTTCACAAGTATTCAACTGCAAAGGAAATCTTTGAAACCCAAAATTATTCTCATTACTGTTACTTCCTCTGGAAATGTAAGGAAACCGCTTTACTTACAAAGTAAGGACATAAACTCTTATAAGGTAAAAACCAACAGAAAAGTACTCTTATTTCATTAGCACTTCAATTAGCACTTTAAAATAATATTACCTCAAACATTCAGAGAAGTAGAGTAATGTAATAAACAGTCCCATACTTTACTAGCAAATGCTAATATTTCCTTCATATTTCAGTAAATAAATTTAAAAAGTTACAAATTCAGGTGAATTCCCTGTCCTTGGCAATCTGAGTTCCATCTCTCCTCTCCAGACACAGCAACTATTCTGAAACTGATTTCTATTATTCTCTACCACATTTTTTATACTTTAACTAAAAATTTATATGACCATAGTAGCATTTATTGTCTCATGTTTTTAAAAGTTTTACTTAAATATTGCTTTATTGTACATATTTACTCTGGAAATTATTATTTAAATACCATTTTATTATACATATTACTTTGGAAATTATTATTTCCTTAATATTATGACTTCTAGATCTACCCATGTTGATAAATGCAGGTAATTTTTATTCACTTTTATTCATGGGTAATATCCCAATATGAATATAGGGCAATTTATTTATTCATTTTCCCATTAGTACACCTTTTGGTTGTGTTTAATTTCTTGCAGTTCCACAGGATCACGCATTAATCCTCTTTTTGCACGTCTTTATGTTGTTACACATGTGTGAGCAATTTTCCCTAGTATTTTTGCCTGGAGTTTGGCCGTAAATATTCATGTAATCAAATATAGTAGATATTGTGAAATTTCTCTTTTCCTACATGCTCAAAACTCTTTGTATTATCAGAGTTACTTTTTCCAGAATGTTGAGTAAGTACATTTGGTTTTTCAGGTTACCACTGAGCTTTACTTATATTTTTCTCAAATCATTAGTGACTACTCAGATTTCCTGTCCTATGAATTAATCATTCATATTGTTTGTCCATTATGATAGGCAGACTAATGGGCCCCTCCAATGATGTCCACATTCTAGTCTCTGAAAGCTGTGAATATGTTACTTTACATGCCACAGGAAACTTTGCAAATGTGACTGACTGTTAAGGATTTTGAGAAGTAGAGATTATCGTGTATTATTCTGGTGGGCCCAATAGGAGGGAGGCAAAAGGGACAGAGACAGAGAAAGAGATATGATAGCAGAATCAGAGGCTGGGATAATGGAAGACCATGACCCAAGGACCGTAGACAGTCTCTAGAAACTGAAAAATGCAAGAAAATACATTCTCTCCTAGAACCTCTAGAAAACAACAACAACAACAAAAATTTTCATTTCAAGATTTCTTAAATTTTAGTCTTCTGACATCCAGAACTGTAAGATAATACATTTACATTGTTTTAAGACTTTTAGTTTGTTGTAATTCATTATAAAATTGGTAGGAAAATAACATATCTACCTTTCTACTGGGTTGACTTTTATTGACTCTAAGAGGTACACGTGATGATAACAGCAAATAGATATATAGAGAGAAACAGACAAATTCTATATAATAACCTGTTGTTCTTTCTATATACTATAAAGAACTTTTCCCATAATTTTATTTTTAATTTTGCTTTGTGGTACACAGTATTATAGTTTGCTTTTTCAGTCCTTTCCTTTATAGTTTGTGCTTTTTATGACACATAAAAGATTTTTCCCCTATTCCA